TGTACTTAGTTACTTTCCACTACTGTGTATATAACTACACTTAAATTCAAAGGAAAGGACATCTCACCAGCTTGCATCCTGGGTTGTCCTCCGTATGGGCGCCAGCAGCTGGTGAAATGGAGGCGGCCTTCTTACAGATGTACCCATACGTCTTCTCACACGTGTGATCTGCCCATCTCCCGTCCTGTGTGAGGAATATACAGACAATAAGAACAAAACCACTCAAATGATCAATCAACAGCATGAGAGTAACAGGTGATACCTTTCCTCTGATGAGGACACAGTCTTCTTGGATGTTGGTGACATGAGACGGCTCCCCAGTTAGCCACTGGGTGAAGGTGACGTGAGAATGATCAGACCATTCAAACAGCAGCTGGTTCCTCTGATCGTTCAAGCCGATCCAAAGCACATCTGTTGGCACTGAGGGATTTAAATGCACATGTAGATGTTACTGTGGTAGTTTCTCAGCTTCAATGTCACCTAGTCCTGCTGCTGTTTGTATTGACCAGAGCTTCTCATAGTCTTGCTGTTGCGTGATTTTGCCAGCAGAGATTTCAGGAAGCTACTGCATCTGGCCAAAAAGGTAGTCTGGCAAATACACCTAGGTAAAATTATACATTGTCATTTACATCTTTGCTGTACAGATGAAACCAACAATATATAAATTAATTCTAGAACATTAGAATAAGTGGCTTTTGTTACCTTCAGGCTAGCAGTTTCCTCCTAATTTCTGTTCAAAAAAAGGATCATTTGAAAAATATGACTTACTGCACACTTACAGTATCCAGTTTGAGATATGATGAAGCTCTGCTCTTCTATATTGTGTATGCTGGCCAGATCTCCTCCCTCTCTGTGGCAGGCAGCCAAAGCGTCCCTCCACATCTTTTTATCCCTCACCAGGTAGTAACAGTTACCTCCATAAGGAACCCAGTGACTGGGGCAGAAGCTGGGCTGGTCGTTGCCTGTGGATTGATATCAGGAGAACTGCAACATGCTTGTCTTTATGTTTGTACTTTGAAGACACTGTAATGGCAAACCAGATTCCAATCACTTAGGGGTATTTTATTTACTTGGTGGAGGTGGCAGGTTGTTTGAGTTTCCTTTGCGACAAATGTAACCGAGTTTCTTGTTGCAGGCGCTGCTCTCCCATTTTGAGGCTTTAGCAGCATTAAGGGTTGCACAGGTATGCCCAGGCTCTGATGAGGGATGACCTATAGAAACATCCATCCATTTATTATTTGTTTCTAATAAAAAAATGTAAATATGTTTGGTTAACCTGATCATTCACAAAGCCTACTGTTGCTATATTGGAGTCACAAATGAAACAACAATATACCATAAAATAATGCCCCGCTGTTACCCCAGCAAACATGCCAACACTAACCTGGGGCCCAGTTTAAATATCTGAATGGGTTTCCGTTGCTCCACTGCCATCCACTCTCAAAATCCAAGCTGTTCAGTCCAATCCACAGAGAGGTTCCTACATAATTTGTCAGCCCTGTGCCGATCCATGTATCACAGTATACTTAGTGATAGTCAATGCTGTGATATTGGTTGATGATACAAAGCTGACTTTGTACCTGAAATGTATGACTGCTCATGGAGCTCGACGATGCTGAGGAGGTCCGCTCCCTGCTGCTGGCAGCTCTTCCTGGCCTGATGCCAGGTCAGCGCTGACTGTACGTTCCTCTGATATTGAACCCCTGTGACCGGATCAGTGTCCCAGTCTGAGGAAACTATGGAAGAGATACCAAGTAGACAGATTATAAAAAGAATGTATTTAGAATACCTGTTGGAAAAAAGTGTGGATTGGCCTCTGTCTTCTTTGTAAAACCATCAGTCACAGAAAACTGTGAAAAGGGATCACAGTAGTTTCAGGACTGCCAACATAGCCTTTTGTGAGCTTGAAATAACTGAGTCATTCACACACACACACACACACACTTACCTTGTGTGGGACAAAAGCCCCACTTCTTTGCTTTATCGTAATCTGTCTCTGTGGCACACCACAGCTGCCCATCTGCGCGACCATCCTTTGTGCATTCAGCATACCAGTTCCCCTGAAACTTAAATGGGAACTGACAAGGGCCTCCAAAAGTGTTGCCGCCTATTGTGAAAATCTCTGAGGAGAAAAATAATACATTTAAACATAATAAAACAAGTAAAACCTACAAGTCAGCAACCTGTTGCCAGCTGCTGCATGTATATGGACACCTGATCATTGTATCTATATGTGATTGTTGATTAACAGCCACTATTCTGGAAAGGCTTTCCACAGGATTTTGGACCCTGACTGTAGCCACAAGAGCATTATGATGTTCAGTGGAAGACCTAGCTCATAGTTAGACTTCATCCCAGAGGATTTGGATGGGGTTAAGGTCGGGGCTCCGTGCACACCAGTCAAGCTCTTGCACACCAAACATGGAAAATAGTTTCTTAGTTACCTTATAATTTAGACTAAATGAAGTTTCAGTAACTGTCACAAATAGCTGCCAGGCAAGTAAATAGTTGGTTTTGTTGTAGTTGCCACACCTGATGCATGTTGACCTGGTAGAAAATGCGATTGGATTCCTTTCTATATATTACAAATGTAATATAAAATGAATTGTATGCTGATTATAGGATTATTTAATATATATATGCTTATAGGAATATATAATTATAATATATTTTAATTATAATATAATTAATGTGTTTTCTGCACTGAAAAACAATCTCAGCATGGAGAATTCATCACAGCACTGTAAAACACCTTTCTAACCTTCCTAGAAAGCTGAAGCACATTTAGATATCACTCTCCCATAAATATTATTGCTTTGTCTTTTCTAAATCAAAGACTTACTACCTTGATACCCCTTTGAACAAAGATCACTGATAGTGCCATATATCCTCCAGCGACTCCAGATGCTAGAGCCTGTGTAAATCATTACGTTCCTCTCATCGCGGTTGCCCCAGTTTAAGTGCAGGTCCTGGTCTTTTATGCCAAACAGAGTCTCATTCTTGCACTGCCAGTGCTGTAGCTCACTGCTCTCATCACATTCAAAGAGGACCACCTTCACCCAGTCTTTCAGATCTGTGGCCCCCAGACAGAGCTTGAGGGACAGACTGAGGAGGCGTGACTGGGAGGCCCAACGAAACTGTTGCTGCTTGGCATGAGGATCACAAGGAGCCACAGTTACTGAGGTGGCAGTCTCCACCTTAATGCACTTGTTGTGGTTTTCATTGAATATCAGGAAGGAGCCACTGTCTGCAGCAAAAGAGAACAGGTTCAGCACATCACATATACCAATTTCAAATTAATCTAAAAGCTGACAGTTGAACAAACAAAAACTGTCAAAAGTACGTACCTATGTCAGCAGTAATGCAGAGGACTTGCACAAGACAAAAGACCACAACAACATTTGAACAAGGTAACATTATCCTCCGTGTGTAGTTTGTACTCAGTGGTGGAAAAGGTGATAGGAGAGTTTTCCTGTCATAGGAGAGGTCGTCTGCTGTGTGCTAAGGTGTGTGGCAAGCAGCAACAGTGACAGAGACATGGTGCCTTTCCCCTTTAATGACATTCATGGATATCCTGTCACATGGGTGGTTAAGGGCAGTCAAGCCACAAAAAATGTCCCTGAACCTCCATAAAATTTAGGCAGAGCAAATAAAGAAACAAGCAGTCTTAAATCAGAAAATGAAAATCAGTGATAGCTTCATAAAATACTCAGTTTTTAATAAATCAAGGCCAAAAAGGAAACTGAATGATGAATTTTGGGCTTAATTTATTCAGGCAGTTGTTTTTACATTCAATGCTTTGCTTAATGTTTTTTTTTTTTTTTTTTTTAACCTATTATGAATATCTCTTCAAGCTGTGCTAAACCTGTGCCTGGATAATAAACACAGAGAGCAGATGTCTTTAAGACTGACTGAAAAAGTTTCTGTTGTCTGATCAGTTTTATAGAGGGCACCAGAGTAAGTGAGGAATAAATGAGATTTGCCACACTTTGCTGATGTGATGTTTTTTGTGGGATAGTTGCCCACGGTGAGGCTTCGTGTGAGGACAGCAGTGATGATATGAGCCAGTAGAGAGAGAGAGGACAAGAGGAAATCCTGCTTCCTTTAGAGGAGTGGAGATCTGGCCACTCTGGCTTCAAACTGCAGGGATGCCCAGTAGTGCTGTTCAGACAAAAATGGTTCAGAGAAGAACATGTAAAGAATTTAGATACAAGATGTAGGAAAATCTATCTCTGAACAAGAACTGGGTATTTAATGAATATTTCAGAATGAAAATGTGAGGCTGCAGTCACTGTCTCCTGATTGCCCTGGTTGTTAGCATGTATTCCTGTCTGTCAGGGTGTCTTTTGATACTACCACTAGGTGCCGCCAAAATAAAAAAAAGTGAACATTTGGCACAGTAGTTCACCTAAAAAAAAACACGTTACATGTGATGCTAATATTGTGAATGTCTTGTTTTTCTTTTGGGAAGTGACTAAAAAGAAATGGGATAAATTCCAGTGTAAATGGTTTAAATGAAGGCCATGAACATACACCTACAGTACATGTACTTTCAGTTCATTTGGGTATATGCTGCATAAATCACCAGTGAAACTTAAAACATATGTTTTAACAATTGTCTGTATTAATCTTACCAAAATATATTGATGATACAAACTCACACAGTTTTTCCTTGACTTCAACAGCAAAGAAAAAACTAATATAAACAACAAGGCAGAAAACATCTCATGACAATTCAGGTACATTTCCAAAGTGCCATGCTTGGCAAAGGTGAGGTTTGTAAGGGGTAAAACAGTACATCTAAACAAAAACAGCAGTCATTTGACATACGATGTCCTCTATGGGAAAACATGCAGCCCCTTTCAGCCTGTGAACAATACCATTATGTATTTTAACTGAATTTCTTTTCAGTACTGTACACTTAGGTTACAAACCACATCAAACTTGGCATCGCACCAGAGTAAGTGAGGAATAAATGAGGTTACAAACCACATCAAAACTTGGCATGCCACAGTTCCTGGATGTGGCCAACTATGTCTCAGTGTTGTAGCTTTTCTTAATGTATTAAAAGAGCATCCTCTTTGTGTTGAAGACTTTCAGCTTGGTCATCAAGTTGAAATAAACAAAGGCCAGGCAGACCAACAGGTTTTTCATCAGGTAGAGGATGGGTGTGACGAAGCCAAAAATGGCAATGAGGCCCACACGCACAAAGAAAAAGGGCAGGTCCTGCAGAGCTACTCCTAGTGAAGAAAGCAGGGGGTTCTGAGGCATGACCACCACACGCAGGCACGACAGGTAGCAGAAGATATAGATGGGGAACACCCAGCCCGAATAGAAGACCAGAGGATGTCCTGCCACCCGCACCATCTCCACTGTATCCATCCAAAACATAAAGCTGTCCACGAGCATGTCCACCTGGGCGTCACTGGCACACAGGAATCTCAGTGGACCCATGTAGGCATATGGAGCTATGTGGTGTACTGCAGTGGACGCTGGTCGTGAGCTCAATCCAGAGACGCCAAATGGTCTACCAGGATTACCTGGTAGCCCTGGGACTATTCCACTGGTCTCTGGTCGAGCCCCTGCTCCAGTCTGGTTCCTGTCATTGAGCTGGTTTACTCCCAGTTGCATGGAAGCGGACACACCTTGCCCAGGCACAGCTGGAGTGATGGGTGTTACTGCTGCAATCTGCTCCACATGTGTGAGGACAGTGGAGGGGATGTCAGCATCTCTTGCCATGTCATTAACTGGAGAGGGAAAGGGTAGGATTTTCAGGACAGTAGTCCAGTCCAACAAGATTATACAGAGGAAAACAAACATGAAGTTACATTTGCCAGTGCTGCTGATCTTCATGTGGTGTTTAAATTAACATTTAATAAACATGACAAGAATCAGAATGATTGTTGTGATTACTGGTTAAAATTGTGACAATTGTGTAAGAACAGTATCAGAAAAGATTGTGATTACTGGTTAAAATTGTGACAAAATGTGTAAGAACAGTATCAGAGATCCAAAATGCTACCACCAAATCTTGTAATCATAAAATTATAAACAACCTGTGCTTGGAACTAAAGTTTCGTGGAAGAGCTGACATTACACTTCCTCAAATGGCTTTCGTTTTCTCATGAAACTTCACTTTTTATAGAAAAACACTCCTGCGGTTTTGTCAGTTCAGCACTATTACAAAAAGTAAAGTGCGCTAACCGACTTCCTGCTCATTCCCTTGAATCCACCAATGTTTTTCAACAGTAGGAACAAAGAAATTCAAACTGGTTTCTAAATTCTTCTGAATAAATAAGATAAATAACTCTTGGCTGTATTTTTTTTTTGCTTCCATGCTTTTGTAATGTAAAGCCAGCCTGGTACCACTATAAAAATAGTTTGCAGAGGAAAGTGCAGGACCTGTAGCACTTACTGATTTGTGTATTGTGTTCAGAGAGCTGTGCTCACCCTGGCCGGTCAGTCTGCAGTGGCGTATCCTCTCCACCACGTCAATACAGATGAGAAAGAAAAGGACTGCTGATACCAACCAAGCAGAGGTCAAACCACCTCTCCACCACGTCAATACAGATGAGAGAGAAGAGGACTAGTGATACAGGGAGCTCCGTGAACGTATCATGTTGCATGTTGTTATTTACCTGAATCTGGGCAGACATTTAGTGTAATTATGTACTCAATTTCAATCAATATAGCATCTATTGCTTTGTCTGCAATAAGCAATAGTGCACTTTTACATCAAATTGTCTGTGCCTCTGATCTCTAGTTTTAGTTTGTGAGCTAAATCCCCTGCAGCTCTGGGCTATGACCCAGAGCAAAGCAGGCAAGTTATTCATCTTAACAGAATTTATGTTTTTTATGTAATAGACATCTGATAAGCAAGGGCAAAAAGATCAGCTCGGGCTTTAGAAAGGGACACATAAAACAGCAAATTGGCTCTGGGCTGCAGCCAGCAAGGAAGTGAAAATGTGCCTCATGGACAGATGATTTGACAAGGGGAGCCTGGACAGGAAGAGGAACCAAGCTGCTTATCAGTAACTCCTTATCTGTAAGGGAGGATATTTTTCCTCTGAGAACCATAAGGTTCCTCTCAAATCATGGCCTTTATTCCACTCACAGAGGCCTCACATTGTGATTCCACTCACCTATATCTTGTTTGAATGATGAACACAATCATGTAAAACAACCACAACAAATCACTAGCTATAGGACAACTCTTCTTACAAGTATAAGCAACAAAAGGGTCAAAGTTCACTATAACAGTAGAGATAAATTGATATGATAGAATAAATAATCTGCAACATGTACCTCAGAGCTGGCGATGAGAAAAACAAAGCAGGGTAATGTGGACAGGATCACATACACGAGGGCTATGGGCCTCCTGACAGACAAAGGGAAAGCTGGATAAAAAGAAGGAAGACAAAGGCAGCTGCTGGACTTGCTAACTCATGATATTCACCATGAAGCAGGAGCCAAACCAGCTGCACAAAAGCAGCTGGTCATTTCTCATTCAGTGCTGCACTGGGATCCCAGGTGCTAAGCTAAGATCAAGGCTCCACCTTCATTTCTAGCTGGACAAAAGCAGGAGAAACTCACCACTTCTTCCTCCCAATAAGAAACTTCTTCTTCATGAAGACCATATACTTCAGAGGCACCCAGACCAGCAGGGCAGTGGAGGTGACATAGGCAATGGAGGAGGCCACAATCAACCAGTAGGCTGTGCTGCCATCACTGGGAGGCTGTGCTGATGTTTTGACCTTTGCTATGATGGCGGCGAACTTCTGCATGATGAGGAAGAGTGGCACGGACAGGCCTGCAAACTGCAGCACCTCACACAGGGCAAACTTCAGTGTCCTCCCTGAGCCCATGCTGTGGCAGTTCAAAAAAAGAAAAAGGGAGGCAGACAGGGGGCTGTTGTTGCAGTGAGGCGACCCCTGTCCCTCTGAGGGCTGGTCAGGCCTTGGACCAGTGCATTGTCTGCCTCCACTAGTACTTTCCATGCACCACAGCCCTGCTCACCCAGCTGCTTACACTGCACTAGGCATTGTGTACCTTGGTGGGACTGGCCCTTTACTCTCTTTATATACAGGATTCAAACAAAGGCTGTCTAACTCTGCACCCTGAAGGATGTGTATGTACACGCATCTCAGTGTGATTGCACTTTATTCCATCTTATCAATCAGCTGGGCATAATAGATGACCTTCATTGTTGTAATCATATAAAACACACACATTAGTCATCCCTTATATTCAACCTGAACATTTTCCAAAACCGAACACTACTAGACTTGATAACGTGACATCCACAGGCTAGTGACTGTGAACCAAAGATATATGATGCAACAGAAAACAAATCAGCTCTGATGCTTCTCATACTTATTCATCACCATCTAGTGGCAAAACGTGACAACTGTAAAATGTCAGAAGCACAACAATATAACAAATACATCACTGGTTTAATTTCACTGCTGTATTTGTTAATTCAAACTATCCCCCCTCCAAGATAAATTAATACTTGTTTCCTCATAATGGCAGTGACAATAGACTCGTCTTCTTTTAAATAAAAAAATCCAAAACACTAAACGTGAACTAAAAGTTCACGCTGATATTTTTTTTTAAATCAAGGATCTCTTTAGCTTAAACATGATTGTCATTCCATTGAATGTATGCAAACAATGTTTTTACTGGAACCCACAACCTGGTACATGGACATTGTGCTGACCTGAAAATTTGATCAAATTTAGATAGTCTGGACTACATTTGGTGCAGTATATACTGTAGATTCTGCATTTATGCAGTTTTTCATGCAATGCCTCCACGAAAACAGATCGCAGTACAGTAAAGACTAAATCTGCATTATCACCCCAGAACAATTTCACATGCCTTTAGTTTTTGCACACTTTACTGTTGTACATTTGATAGAATTGAAACTATAAAATTTCCATTTTTGTCTATCAAATTATAGTTAATAACCCATAATGACCAAAATACATGCTTTTGAAAATGTTTGCAAATTTATTTAAAAAAAAACAAAAAAAAAACGATACTCATTGCAAAAAAGCATTCAGACCCTTAACTCAGTACTACGTAGAAGCCCGTTTGGGATTGATTGATCTTATTTTATTGAGCTGATCACAACTGATCTAATCTTTCTATGCTTGTTCGTTCTGCTCGATGTTGGTCACCAGGGCCCTGGTGTCCACTGTGGCTTGGAATGGATTGTTGAAGTACAACCTGTTGTCAAAGGTACATTCTCCCAGGACAGGGGTGGGTATCCGCTTACGGAAGAGGAGGAATGCACCAAGTCCAGCTATGGCAATTACAACCAGTACTATAGCCACAGTGACACCAGCAGACCGATGGGAAGCTTCTTTAACAAAGGGCGCTAAGGATGAAAAACAGAAGTATTACAAGAGACAAAATAAGTTTAAAACATCTGTCTTAATAATATTGAGACAGATATAACAGACAGATATATATTAAGTTAATATATATCTTAGACAAAATTCAGTTAAATTACCAGGAGATGGAGGTTTCTTTGTAGGTGCAACAACTGAAAAAAGATTCACTGTTCAGTGTACTTTAAGAAACCGACAGGACATTTAAAATTACAGCTGATTAAACTTACCTTTGGGTGTTTTGCAGATGTAAGACCGAGAATTGCTGCAGATGTTTGTACTCCATTTCCCGATGCATGTCAGTTTCCACTGTGGATTTTTACTTTCACTTAAGGACTCAGATACTTCTTACACCATTAGTTATATAATAGTTTCATAATAGTAATATCGTATTTTATTTTTTAATATTCATCAAGATTGAGAAAAAAAACCAAAGATACCTGCAGAATGTCAGCCACTTGTATACTGTACAATTTATTTACTTGACTTTAACACTGAATTTTACTTCAGTATGCTCACCTTCATGTGTCTTGTAAAGGCCGATCCAGAAGGACTTGGCTTCGTCCTGCAGAATCTCCAGATTCTGTTGTATGAACTTACCCTCCTCAGGGTCCTGAATACTCACCAGGGAAGCACCTGATGAGCACAGCCACACAGTGATAGAGTTTATACACACAAATATTCATTTATTAGTTTAATTGTGGAAGTTCTATGTAACATACTCATTTTCAGGCATTCAACTGAGGCATGGGCCCAGTTGTCCACCTTTGAACTGAGGAAGGCATAACAATGGCCTCTGAAAGGTATCCAGGTTATTAGTTTCTTTGGCTCTGGACAGTTGCCAGGAAGCTGTGGGGGCTCAGTGGGCACCTCATCTGAAAAAGAGACCGAAGATCGCATTCTAGTCTCAGATGCTGCTGCTTAATCATGCTAACTGGTTTGGAGTACCAATAGAGGGACTGTCTCACCTGGAGACCTCTTGCAAAGGGAATAGTAGTTATTAGTACATGGTGCAGTCTTCCACGTCCTGTCTACGTCGATATACACACAGCCATAGTTGTTTTTAGGCTCATCTCTACCCCATTTGGTGTACGACAGAAGCCAGTTATCAACCCACTTGAACCGGCCACCAGTCTGTTAAAGACATAAAGTATTAATGAAAGTTTATGCAGAGCTTGAAATAGTGGTTTGCACTAATTGTTTATGCCTATGCTTAAAACAGTAGGTAGGATTATTTACCACATTGCTGTTGAGCCCAATCCATACAGGCTCATTGTGCTTGGACATCTGTAAGGTGATGTATGCCTGGGTGATGGGGTTCAGGATACTGGCCAGATCTGCATCATCTGCTTTGCACTGCCTCCTTGCCTCATCCCATCTCATCTTCTGGGCCACCAGTTTGTAGGAATCATTGCCAAATATGTTGAAAGCCTTTGGTAACACAGTGGTGGGTGCGACTACAATCTGAGAATCTTTGTGAATGAGGCATCTCTTGTTAGTCAGGATCATTGAGAAATTTCAGCTGAAAAACCTTCACTTAATATTTCACTCACCCACGTTTCTTTTACAGATGAAGCCTTTCTTTGACTGACAGTCTTCCACTTTCCATAATCCTGTGAGTTTGGAGACGCTGCCCACCATGATCACACAGTCATATGTCTGTCAGGCAGAGAAAGCTACATGAGTTCAGCTAGGTCTTTTCATTTTGAGGAGTTTGACTTTCATTGACAGTATGAACATCGATTTTTATAACCGATTTTCAATACAGTTTTATCACTTGAATTAAAAAAAACTTGATAATGATAATCTTTCACTCATGACACTTTTTAACACTGAATTTTACTTCAGTATGCTCACCTTCATGTGTCTTGTAAAGGCCGATCCAGAAGGACTTGGCTTCGTCCTGCAGAATCTCCAGATTCTGTTGTATGAACTTACCCTCCTCAGGGTCCTGAATACTCACCAGGGAAGCACCTGATGAGCACAGCCACACAGTGATAGAGTTTATACACACAAATATTCATTTATTAGTTTAATTGTGGAAGTTCTATGTAACATACTCATTTTCAGGCATTCAACTGAGGCATGGGCCCAGTTGTCCACCTTTGAACTGAGGAAGGCATAACAATGGCCTCTGAAAGGTATCCAGGTTATTAGTTTCTTTGGCTCTGGACAGTTGCCAGGAAGCTGTGGGGGCTCAGTGGGCACCTCATCTGAAAAAGAGACCGAAGATCGCATTCTAGTCTCAGATGCTGCTGCTTAATCATGCTAACTGGTTTGGAGTACCAATAGAGGGACTGTCTCACCTGGAGACCTCTTGCAAAGGGAATAGTAGTTATTAGTACATGGTGCAGTCTTCCACGTCCTGTCTACGTCGATATACACACAGCCATAGTTGTTTTTAGGCTCATCTCTACCCCATTTGGTGTACGACAGAAGCCAGTTATCAACCCACTTGAACCGGCCACCAGTCTGTGAAAGACATACAGTATTAATGAAAGTTTATGCAGAGCTTGAAATAGTGGTTTGCACTAATTGTTTATGCCTATGCTTAAAACAGTAGGTAGGATTATTTACCACATTGCTGTTGAGCCCAATCCATACAGGCTCATTGTGCTTGGAAATCCGTAAGGTGATGTATGCCTGGGTGATGGGGTTCAGGATACTGGCCAGATCTGCATCATCTGCTTTGCACTGCCTCCTTGCCTCATCCCATCTCATCTTCTGGGCCACCAGTTTGTAGGAGTCATTGCCAAGTTTGTAAAAAGCCTTTGGTAACACAGTGGTGGGTGCGACTACAATCTGAGAATCTTTGTGAATGAGGCATCTCTTGTTAATCAGGATCATTAAGACATTTCAGCTGAAAAACCTTCACTTAATATTTCACTCACCCACGTTTCTTTTACAGATGAAGCCTTTCTTTGACTGACAGTCTTCCACTTTCCATAATCCTGTGAGTTTGGAGACGCTGCCCACCATGATCACACAGTCATATGTCTGTCAGGCAGAGAAAGCTACATGAGTTCAGCTAGGTCTTTTCATTTTGAGGAGTTTGACTTTCATTGACAGTATGAACATCGATTTTTATAACCGATTTTCAATACAGTTTTATCACTTGAATTAAAAAAAACTTGATAATGATAATCTTTCACTCATGACACTTTGCTTCTTCATGCCATGGGAGACAACATGACTAATTTGACAGCGAAATAGCTTATACTTTTGTGGATGTGACAGTTTCTCATGATAATTTTGATAATCTTCTCTGCACCTACTATCATTATTGAGTTACAGTGCAAAAGAGACAGAACAAGGTTTGGATATAAATGTTGAAATAACCTCATCAGCAAATGAATGTCTATCAGGCACTGATACTGGGTGTCCTTTAGCCCAGTTGGTGTAAGAAATTCCTTTGCCATCTGTCCACACAAAGTGCATCTCCCAGTTGACGTCATTCATGCCGATCCAAAGATCCTCACTGTATCCCAACATCTGTGTTAGGAATGCTAAAAAGGAAGCAAACTATTATTAACTCTTAAAACGTTAGGTTTATTTACATTAGCTTTGCAAACATCCATAAAGAAAAGTTGTGTTTGAACATTAGCAACTTGTTGCTCACCTTGCTCTGTCTCGCTGGCAATAGAAACCAGATTTCCTCCCTGGTTTATGCAGTAAGTTCTAGCATCCTGCCAGTTCTTATTCTCATGCCCCACAACAATTTTGTAGCACTGTGTAAACAAGATGAACATGCAGTGTGTGTTAGAATAACATGCAAAGAAACAGAAGACAGCGTCTGGCTGCTCAAGCTTGATCTAATTTTGGAAACATATTTTACCAGAACAGATTTAAGTACATCTGAAAGTTTAAATCATATCCTGACAGTAGGAGTATAGCTTTGTTTTCATAAAACACAAGCATATCATCTAGAATGTCCAGCACTGTATTGGAGTAATCTGTGATGCATACATTTACACATTACCTTTCCTTGGAAAGACAGCCACTCTGGTGCACATCCTCCTTTAGGAACAGTGGTAGGGGCCATTGTTGTATTGATAAAATTACTGCTTCTTTTGCAAATAGAGGGAAGCTCAATACCACAATTAATATCATTCCAGTATCCTGAATGTGCAGAGTTTAGAAAGAACAATGAACAAGATAAAATTAATAGCTAATGTTTACAAAACCAACCTACTGTGTGGATGCATTCAACTCACCCATGTTCTTGTATATAGTCACACAATTTTCATCATTGTTAGCAAAGTTGGGTTCATTTTGTTCCCATGCAGTGTAAGTTACTGGGCTGCCATCCAACCAGCTAAAATGGTAAAGAAAATAAACAAGGCTTCACTAATTTATTTCAGTTTTATATCAAATGCCAGACTAGATTTGATGTATGGTGAACAGCAGCAAGTGTTGGGGCTCAACAGTGTAGGTGGATGTACCTAAATGACTTATCCAAATTCACCACCATGCCAATGTAGTACTGACTTTCTGTACCCTTCACCATCTGTTGGAACATAATGGTAAAAAAATATTACATTAATGTTGAAAATAAAAAATTGTTATTGCAGACAGTGAGAGTTTTGAGAACATACAACACATTTCCTTTCCCAACATCCATCCATCTTCATCCGCTTCATCTGAGAACAGGTTGCGGGGGCAGTAGCCCGAGCAGAGCCTTCCAGACTTTCCTCTCCCCACACAAACTCCCATGAACCCTCCAACACCCTAGTGAGGGTACAGAGCTAGTCCAGTGTTCCATGGCTGGGGTGAAAATTGCATTGTTCCTCCTGAATCCGAGGTTCAACTATTGGATGGATTTTCCTCTCCAGTACCCTTGCATAGACTTTCCGGGGGAGGCCAAGAAGTGTGATCCTCCTATAGTTGGAACACACTCTCTGGTCCCCCTTTTTAAGAAGGGGGACCACCACCCCGGTCTGCCAGTCCAGAGGCACCGTCCCCAAGCTCCATGCAATGTTGCAGAGCCGTGTCAGCCAAGACAGCCCCACAACATCCATAGACTTGAGAAACTCAGGGCAGACCTCATCCACCCCCAGAGCCGTGCCACCGAGGAGTTCCTTAACTACCTTGGCAACTTCAGCCAGGGTAATGGACGAATCCCCTCCCGATTCCCCAGCCCTGGCTTTATTTACGAAAGGTGTGTCGGGGGGATTGAGGAGATCTTCAAAGTACTCCTTCCACCGGCCAACGATATCCTCAGTTGAGGTCAACAGCACACTACCTCTACTGTAAACAGTGTTGGCAGAACACTGCTTCCCCCTTCTGAGCTGCTGGACAGTTTTCCAGAATCTCTTTGTAGCCAACTGAAAGTGTTCCTCCATGGCCTCGCCAAACTCCTCCCAGGCCCGAGTTTTTGCCATGGCGACTGCCAGGGCTGTGTCCCACTTGGCCTGTCAGTACCTGCCAGCTGCTTCAGGAGTCCCATGAGCCAACCAGGCCCAATAGAGTCCCTTCTTCAGCTTGATGGCATCACTCACTTGCGGTGACCACCATCATGTTTGGGGATTGCCGCCGCGACAGGCCCCAGAAACCTTACAGCCACAGTTCCCAGCAGCCGCCCCAACAACAGAGGTGAGGAACATAGACTCCAGTACCCTGGCATAGACTTTCCCAGGGAGGCTGAGGACTGTGATCCCCCTATAGTTGGAACACACCCTCCGGTCTCCCTTCTTTTTTTAATGAGGGACCACCAACCTAGTCTGCCAGTCCAGAGGCACTGTCCCCAGCCGCCATGCGACATTGCAGAGGCGTGCCAGCCAAGACAGCCCCACAGACTCAATGTCTCCGGTCTCCCTTGGGATCTGGTCGAAGCACTGGTGGACACCCTTATGCTTGAACATGGTGTTCGTTATGGACAAACTGTGACTAGCACAAAAGTCCAATAACAGAACACCGCTCGGGTTCAGATTGGGGGGGGGCGTTCCTTCCAATCATGCCCCTCCAGGTGTCACTGTCATTGCCCACGTGAGCGTTGAAGTCCTCCAGTAGAACAATGGAGTCCCCAGTCAGAGCACTTTCCAGCACCCCTCCCAGAGACTCCAGGAAGGCCGGGTACTCTGCACTGCCATTCGGCCCATAGGCACAAATGACAGTGAGAAACCTATCCCCAGCCCGAC